GTCCCACCCATATCTAGCTCAGATGACAGATTATGCGAGGAAATTTACGTCCGCACGACCGTTCGTGATCGCGACGGTAGATATAGTGTAGCGCTGCCCTTTAAGGGAGATGTTTTATTTCTCGGCGATTCGCGTCAAATGGCGGAAAAACGTTTCTACAGTTTGGAGCGTAGGATGCTCGCTTCACCCCAGTTAAAGGAAGCTTACGACGGCGTCATTAACGAATATATAAGAGAAGGTTACATATCACTCGTGGCTTCGAAATTAGATAACTACGAAGACACACCGTCGTATTTCATACCACACCACGGGGTCATTAGGGAGGACAAACTTACATCTAAGTTACGTGTAGTGCTCGACGCTAGTGCTAAAACTAGCACTCACCTGTCGCTTAACGATATCCTCTATAGTGGGCAAAATTTACAGGGCAGTTTATTTAATATAATAGCCAATTTTCTTTTGTTTAGTATATCACTATCCGCCGATATTCGTCAAATGTTTCTTTGCATAGGGGTCCGTGAATGCGACCGTAGATTCCAACGCATTTTATATCGTTTCAACCCAAAGGAACCTCTAATGGTGTTTGAATTTAACCGCGTTTGTTTTGGTTTAAAGTCGAGTCCATTTCATGCGTTACGCACGGTGAAATAGCTCGCCCACGATGTAGGTCCCTCTTACCCTAAAGCTAAGAGGGCAATTGAGAGCGGTTATAATTGGATGATTTTGTATACTCGGTCGATAGCGTGGAGGAGGCCACCCTAACCACCGCCGAGGTTATAAAACTCATGAAATCAGGTCAATTCGATCTTGTGAAGTGGACTAGTAATTCGCGTCCGGTTTTAGATACAATCCCACTATCACACCGTCTTTCGGCGATAAAGGAATTCGACGATTCCGATACACACAAGGTGCTCGGTCTGTGTTGGTCACCAGAGTCCGACGTGTTTAGCCTTAAGGTAAATCCGCCCGTAGAGAAATGCACAAAGCGCACAATACTGTCATGCGTTGCTAGATTATGGGACGTCATGGGTTTCGTGGCTCCGGTGATATTATACGCTAAGCTTTTGATTAAACAACTTTGGTTATTTGAATGCGATTGGGATGACTCGCCGCCTGACAGCATTGTTCGTTTGTGGCAGCGCTTTAGAGAGGAACTTCCTTTACTAAGAGAAATTAAAATACCACGTCATATAAACGTCGATAGAAATAGCGTCATAACGGTCGTTGGATTTGCAGACGCCAGCGAGAAAGCTTACGGGGGCGTTGTATATTTCCACGTTCAGAATAATGGTAGAAATTCGATTAGCCTCATTAGTTCTAAGTCGAGAGTCTCCCCCCGTAAGGTTGTCTCTCTGGCGCGCTTAGAGCTTTGCGCAATATTAGTACTCACCAAGCTTATTACCGCAGTTATCAGCGCATGTAGGGATAGAGTTCACATAGAAAGGATATTTGCCTTTTCCGACTCCACCGTCGCCTTATGCTGGGTTCATTCTTCACCCCACCGTTGGGATACGTTTGTCGCGAACCGAGTGGCCAAGATCCAAGACGAGTTGGAAACGCAGAACTTTTATCACGTGTCCGGTACGGAAAACCCTGCCGATTGTCTATCCCGTGGACTCACCCCGATGCAAATAATGGACCACCCGCTTTGGTTCCATGGACCTTCTTGGGTTCACTGGGATCCCTCACAATGGCCGATAACCGATTTCGAACCTTCGTCAGTGTCACAACCGCCGGAAGATAAGAGACACGCTCTAGTGGCGAACGTTTCGAGCGAGGTTTCTCCAATCATTGCTTTGGCGAACCGCTTGTCCTCTTTGTCGAAATTGTTGCGTAGCGTAATTTACGTTTGTCGATTCGCGAAGCTTTTACCGCGACGTTCGTATGTCTTAGCGTCCGATTACAACTATGCCGAGTCGCTAGTATTACGTGAACTTCAACGTGCGCACTTCTCTGAAGAAATTACAAGATTACAATCGAATAGAGCTTGTAGTCGCGCCTTTCAACGCCTTAAGCCATTTTTACAGGATGGGATTGTAAGGGTAGGTGGACGATTGTCCAACTCGCAGTTGAGTTTCGACCAACGGCACCCTATAGTTTTACCGCGTAAAGACCATATCATGAATTTATTAGTCGATTACCATCATAAATTGAACTCGCACGCTGGCCCCGACTTGTTGATGTCGATTTTGCGTCAGAATTATTGGATTCTTTCTGCACCTAGTTTAATACGCAATCGGGTGCACAGATGTATAGCTTGCTTTCGGGCACGCCCCAAGCCGTCATTTCCGGAAATGGCGGAACTTAGATCTTGTAGAGTAATACAATCTGTAAAGCCCTTCACGCACACCGGGTCGGATTTCGCTGGTCCGTTTAAGGTCACGCTCTCTCGCGGGCGTGGTATAAGATCCACAAAGGCTTACGTCTGCATTTTCGTATGTCTAACTACTCGAGCGGTGCATATAGAACTCGTTGGTGATCTAAGCACAGCAGGCTTTATGGGTGCATTTAAAAGATTTCCATCCCGCCGTGGCCCTGTAAGAAAATTATATTCGGATAACGGTACGAACTACGTCGGTGCAAAACGTATTTTATCAGAACTACATGAACTCTTAGCTAGCAAGTATTATAATTCGGAGTTCGCTCACATTCTAGCCGAGAACCGCATTTAGTGGTCTCTGAACGTCCCAGCCGCGAGTCATTTTGGGGGCAATTGGGAGACTAACATTAAGAGTCTAAAGAGTCACTTATACCGAGTAATAGGAGATCAAATTTTGTCCTTAGAAGAGCTAAGTACGGGGCTCGCTCAAATTGAATGCGTATGAATAGCCGCCCACTTTGTCGTACATTGTCTAGTGACCCCTCGGAAGCGCTGGCTCTAACTCCAGCACATTTTTTAAATTTAACGCCTTTAAAGTATTTGCCCGCCGTAGATATGGATGACAACAGACTTAGCATTTACGCACGCCACAAATTATTAGACCGGTTAGTGCAATCGTTTTGGAAACGATGGAGGATGGAATACTTGCATACTTTGCAGTCTCGGCAAAAATGGAACACAGCAACTGAGCCTTTAGCTGTAGGAACTGTAGTTGTGCTCACCAAAGAGAATACGCCGCCTCTCCATTGGCCGTTAGGAATTGTCGAAGAGGTCTTTCCTGGTTTGGACGGAGTAATTAGGATAGCTCGCGTTAAGACCACGGTTGGGTCTTACCTGCGTCCTGTTGTCCGTTTGTGCCCCTTGCCTCTTCCATAATTTAAATTAGCTTTCTAGATTAAAATTGTAGTTGAATTTAGGTAATCTTAGCGTTAGTTAGTTATTTGTTAGTTGATCTTAGCTCTAGTTGTTTTAGTTATTTTTGAAGGAGATCCTTCAAGGGCGGGGGGAGATGGTTGCGCGGAAAACCATTCGTATTTATTTTATTTGACGATAGGCTGCCAAATCGGTTATCCCTTTCCAAAACGATATCATTCGTACCCTCCTATCGACACATCGGGGTGGTGGGGTGGGAGGGGAAAGAAGATGATTCTAGAACATCACGTAATCATCAGAACCGAGGATATATAAGACACGCGCGACCGACGCGTGGTCCCGCCGCGCTCGTCGTTGAAACCACATCGCTAATAGAAACCGCTTTAGCCTGGAAGCAGTCGAGCTCCAGGAAGCCCGCCTCACCTCGTGTGAGATATAGTCGCGCACCGCCTCTCTCCGGAGTGTTCCAGAAGTCGCAGTTATAGTGCTCGACCGCATAGAAGAAACATCCCGTTGAGTCAACATTTTCTTAATAGTATTTTCCTGCTTGATATAGTTGTTTTAACCAGCTCCAATTTTGTGTTTTCCTAATCAAGCAGGATTCCTTTCATCGATTTGGCAAATAATAGTTCGTTTTTTTTGGGAAGAGCGAGTGCATTGTACCGCATATACAAGTGTAGAAGCATTAGTAGATACAGTCCACTTAGATTAATATCTCGCGTAATAGGTTTAAGGTTCGACCGGGGAACTAAACTTCGGCAGCCTTAAACACGTGGCTCCACCATTTTATGGTCACTTCGGCAGGATTTGGATTGGTGTTTGGTGGTCCTCCAACCATTTTCTGGTCGAATTAGCGGCGCGGAAGAGGCCACGCGTCGGTCGCGCGTGTCTTATATATCCTCGGTTCCGATGATTACGTGATGTTCTAGAATCATCTTCTTTCCCCTCCCACCCCACCACCCCGATGTGTCGATAGGAGGGTACGAATGATATCATATAATGATGGTTCATAATTCATACTTTAATAATATTTACAGATCTGTGTTGTAAGTTTTGACACGTATTATCAGCAAATTCACCTGGAAATGGTATTTTCTTAAAGTTATTACTAAAAATTTCGTGATATTTCTGAATTTCTTCTAATGCTCTCACCCCCATACAATATTATTGCGTTGAAAATTACTGTTAACTTTTATTTTAGCCTTAATTACTTTTAAGTTACAAGTCAACTATAAAAGGAAATGTTCTGGCCAGTATACATAATTGAGAACCCTAAAATTCACCACAGACTGTCATGCTGACCTGGTTACCACGAAATGGTCTAGCCATCGCTTACATCCATATACTTTACTTTGAAAAGAATTACATTTAGATGACATAGCTAATTTTGCCAAATTAGCACATATCTAATTATTTTATTACACACACACACACACACACACTTTAGCTTTTGAACTATTTGTTTTGAACAGTGCTACTGCTAACAGTAACTTGAATTATTATACTAAAGTTAGATTAGGACAAGTGATTGCCTACACGTACGCGTTCACATTTAAGACGATATTTCCTCATGCACAGTTGATAGGTTAGAACTTCCAGTAGTATTCGTATTTCGTATGCAATGGCTGCCTCTTTTAAAGTTCCAGTTACAAATATACTTTTAAATATGTATAAAATAGCTTTTGAAAATAATAATAAGTAGTCGCCGTGGTCTGAGTCATTCAAGCAAATCTGAATTATTTTTCAGGGTTGGGATGATGTTAGTTTCCACGGTTCAGATCAAATTTTGACGCCAAACATTGATTTGTTGGCGTATACTGGAGTAGCATTGGAACGCTACTACAGTCACTGTATATGCACGCCATCACGATCCGCACTACTTACTGGAAAATATTCCTATGTTACAGGTACATAAAATTGTAATGTAAACTATAATTATTATATATTTTCATCCTGTGGTTTGACAGATCTTTGCTATCTGATGTTATCTTTTATGTGTAATTTTTATAGATCCAATATTTAAAAGTCTGTATTACCACATATCTACAGGTTTTGAGATCTAAATCTTTTTTATTGAAGTGTATCTATAGTTTTAAAAGGATGTCTGAGTATATTTTTGCGTTGATGATCTTTTTGTAGCAGAAAAGCTTAATTGCATAATAAATGCTAGGTTAATAACATCAAAACTTTCCAAAATATCGGGAGAATGCACGTCCAGTAGCAAGTTTTTTAATGTTCATAAAATTAATCAAGATCCAAGAATTGAATCAACAGCAATCTGTGTTGCTAAACACCCCTTTTTAAATATAAAAGCTTGGAGATGAATGTGTAGAACGTTAGTGCAAAATAATTAATATTTTTAGGAATGCAAGGATACCCTTTAACCAATAGTGAAGATAGGGGTTTACCGGTTACTGAGAAAATTTTGCCACAGTATCTGAAGGAACTTGGGTACGCAACACATTTAGTAGGAAAATGGCACGTTGGTCAATCCCGTACAAGTTTCCTTCCAACGATGCGTGGATTTGATACTCATTACGGCCATAGAGGAGGATATATCGATTACTACGAATACACATTACATGAAACGGTATGTACATTTTCAATAAATTAGTATAAACATTCTATTTAATAATTAAGTTGTTTTCAATGACATTAAAGTAATATATATATATATATATATATATATATATATATATATATATATATATATATATTATAATATTCTAATCTTAAAATCTTATCTTTTGAAAATATGTATCTTATCCGATACTATTCCGATGATATTTTGGACGTCAGTCTGAGCGAGCTTAGAATAGGTCTCCAGTAGCTTAACAGCAAGTCCCCAGGCGAGGATAGAGTTACAGCGGAGCTTCTGAAAGCCGGTGGAAAACCGATACTTAAAGTCTTTCAGAAGCTCTTAAATTCCGTCCTCCATTGTGGCACTACTCCTATGGCGTGGAGCAGAAGCTCGGTGGTCTTGTTATTCAAGCAAAGTGGCAACACCCTCTTGACGTACTACATACTATAATTTCCCTTCTGATCCGCGTTTACGTGCTGTTTTCGAGAGTCCTTACGAATCATCTCACTCGTCGACTTCCAGCTTCTAGAACAAGTTGGTTTACAAAAAGGCTTTAGCAGCATAGACCACATACGAGTACATACCCTTCGGCAAATGGTACAGAAGTCCGAAGAGTACAATCTATCACTTTGTATTGCGTACGTGGACTATGAGAAAGCCTTTGATTGCGTCGAAATTTGGGTGGTGCACAGTTCATTCAGCGGTGCCAAGTTTATTGTCGGTATATCGAAGTGCTGAAGTGTTTGCGCAGTAGTGATACGATGGCTATCTGAGTAAAGAACCAGAGTACAAAACCTTTCCAACTGCAGAGAGGTGTAAGACAAGGTGACGTAATATCCCTGAAGCTCTTTATCGCTACATTGGAAGACATTTTCAAACCACTTGACTGGAAAGGATGCGGTATTAACGTCAATGGTGAGTACATAACTTATCTTCGATTTGCCGACGATACAGTCCTTATCGCGGAATCTCTGGAGGACTTAAACATTATGCTCAATGGCCCCAAAGTATCTCCCAACAGATAAGTCTTAAGATGAAACAAAAGTCATGTGTAATGTCCGCGTCACACCTATGTCAATAGTTGTCGGAAGCACTAAGCTCGAAGTTGTTGACGAGTATGTTTACCTGGGACAAATGCACCGACGTTGTAAGTCCAACTTCGACCGAGAGGTCAATCGGCGGATTCAGTTCGGTTGGGCACCGTTTGGGAAATTACGACACATCTTCTCGTCGGGTATTCCTCAAAACTTGAAAACGAGATTGTACAACCAGTGCGTGTTGCCAGTGATGACTTATGGATCTGAGACGTGGTCCGTCACTGCTGGCCGTATGAGGAAACTCAAAATCGCTCAGTGAGCTATGAAGAGGGCTATGCTACGAGTTTCTCTGCGTGATAAACTTAGGGATTAGGACAGTAGAACCAGAGTGACCGACATACCGTAACGGATTTAGTAAGCTGAATTGGCAATGGGCCGGTCATATACCTCGAAAAACCGACAACCGATGGGGATGGAATGTTCTTGAGTAGTAGACTTGTATCGGCAGGTGAAGTGTAGAGCGTCACCCTACTATGGAGTGATGACCTGGTAAAACATGCAGGAAGTCGATGGATGCAGGTGGCTCAGGACCGTGCTTTGTGGCATTCATTGGGGGAGGTCTATATACAGCAGTGGACTTGTGAAAGGCTGTAATGATGATGATCAAAATATTTTCATCATTTCATCGAAGTATCGAACAAACTTCGATCGCTTACCTACCTCTCAAGCACGGTGGTGGTTAGAAATCATTAAATTATGGAGAGGGCCCGCTGCTATTATGTATGTGATTTCCTAAAATTTTCATTTACGCTATGAGATTTTAAATTTCAAACAGAACTAATATATTTTTTAAATTTGTATACCGGTATTTACTTATGTAATTAAATAAAATATGTTTAATTCTTTGACTGACGAAAAATATGGTTGTCTTTCTTTTCCTTTAATTTACTAATGATTCGAAATAAGGTTTCTCTGACCCGAGAGGAAACGGTGAATAAAACTTCGCATGCATCCTTTTTTCGTCATTTTTTAAATTTAATATTACAATATCATAGTATAATATGCAGAATGGAAAACGATAATAGACCAATCGGTAATTGAAGCATGCGCTATGATATACTCAAAAGAGGACGTTAATAATTTATCAGGGTATAGCGAACCAGAGAAGACCAGCTCCCACAAGCAGCACCTGTCCACAAGTATGACGCATTTCGCAGCCATCGTCCTCCTCGACCGGATTAAAGACAAGAGGGCGACTTGTCATACGACACTACCGCTATTCTCAACTAACATAAGAAAATCCCGGAAAATATGACTCACTCGTTAAATAAAACTATTATTTACGGATTTTATCGCGTTTAATTACTTTAATTTATTTTTATTATTATCCCGACGTTTCGGGTGCTTTACAGCACCCATAGTCACGGGGGGGACTGAGATGTTTGACGTCCCAATGTCATAGTTAGTCCGGCTACCTTCAGTTTTTTTTTAATATTAATTTTTGGTCCGATTTACGCAAAACGAGCTTATAGTATCATGAAGTCTTGCAGTGGTATGCTTGGGTTTGGGTTTAATTTTGTTCATTATAGGATCCCAAGCAGATGGTAGCACCCAAACATCTTTTCTATTGAAATTTGGATGTTTTTTAATTTCAATAGCCTCGCGTATCATCCTTGGTAGGAATCGGTGTTCTTTTGCGAGAATTTGTGGTTTATCAAATCTAATGTAATGGTGGGGACGATCTTGAACATGTTCGCAGACTGCAGACTTCCCGGAGCGTCGGTGCTTCACAGCAGCTATATGTTCCTTCATGCGGGTTTTTATAGATCTCTTTGTTTGACCTATGTAAGAGAGACCACATTCACAATCTAGCTTGTACACACCTGCATCTTGTAGAGGAATATTACATTTGATGGATGGTAAAAATTGACTAATCTTCTTCAGCGGCTTGTAGTATGTCTTAATGGACGCTCGCTTCAAGATGTAGCGAATCTTGTCCGTGACTCCTCTGACATATGGTAGTAGAGCAGGCGCGCGCTCGACTGTGGCCGGCTTCACTCGTTCACTGTGACGTAGGCGCGGGACCCGAAACTTGTTGTCTTGCAATACTTGCTTGACGTGCTGAAGCTCCGCGGCCAGATGTTTTCTGTCACAGATCCCTCGTGCTCTCTGAAACAAAGATTTACCCACGGTAGCTAACTGTGAAGGATGATGGTGAGATTCACCATTTAGATATCGGTTGGTATGGGTCTTTTTCCTATACACAGTGTGACCAATAGTGTTATCGGGATTTCGGATGACTAAAACATCTAGGAAGGCTAAAGAATTATTTGTCTCTCGGGTGTACCCCTTACCTACCTACCACCACCTACCACCTTAACTCCATAAACTCTAAAATACAATTCACAATGGAGTTAGAGACAAATAATTCTTTAGCCTTCCTAGATGTTTTAATCATCCGAAATCCTGATAAAACTATTGGTCACACTGTGTATAGGAAAAATACCCATACCAACCGATATCTAAATGGTGAATCTCACGCATACTATAAGCTCGTTTTGCGTAAATCGGACCAAAAATTAATATTAAAAAAACTGAAGGTAGCCGGACTAACTATGACATTGGGACGTCAAACATCTCAGTCCCCCCCGTGAGCATGGGTGCTGTAAAGCACCCGAAACGTCGGGATAATAATAAAAATAAATTAAAGTAATTAAACGCGATAAAATCCGTAAATAATAGTTTTATTCAATGTGTAGTGTTCGCGTAAATTTAAGAAAACTCCCTCGTTAGTTTAGTGGTGTTAAGCGCGACTACTTATCCCGTGCCCAGTTCACTTTTTAATTAACTTTACGGTATGAAATAAACAAAATACAATACATATTAAATTTATTTTATTGCAGGACGACTCGGGCGAAGTGTATGGATTTGGATTATTTAGAAATATGAGTGCTGCATGGGACGATGAAGGTTATATTACTGATCTATACACTAAAGAAGCCAAAAAAAGTAAGCTTATTTTGATTTGTAATACTTGTATAAAAAACTGTTATTATGATAATTAATAGAATCAGGCGTTACTTTGCGAAAATCGCTTAGCAATCAATTAAAAATTTATTAGCTAAGATCCATGAGAAGTAATAAAATAAAATGAAGTATCTCACCTAGTTAGAAGAGCACCTCGCGCTATTTACCTTGTCGTGGTGGGGCGCTTAGTAGCTGGTATGGCTTGGTCATCTACGGTGAAAAAAGAAGAATCCACATGGTTGGCCCGAGGTAAAGGGCTGACTCGAGGTGGCCATTCCTAGTGGGCTTAGGATTTGTGTTAGTGGACTGCGGCGGGAGGGGTTCCTATCTCTCTCTCTACCGCTACAGCCGAGGTGGAGTCATGGGGGAGGAGGGGTGTGGGTATGACGATCGCCTCACCGTTGTATGATGAAAATATGTTCCCCTAGCAGCCGAATCTCGGGATGGATGGATACTTCAGGGACGACAACGCATATGCATCAATATGAATACGAATCAATATTCGCAACTGAGAATAGACGTAGATATCTACTAGCCACAGCGTCCAATTACCATCAGAAGAACTGTGTGCTCGTTTGTCGTCCTTATTTTATAAAAAATAATAGGAGTGGTTCACGACAGTAGTTAACTGGATTCGAATCCACGAAGTTTTGAGTAACGTAGTATTACGCTACTGTTCCATAATTTCAAAGTAATAAGTCGGGTAAAAAGTTTCTTTGTATTTCTTAAACAAATTCAATATAATAAACATATGCCATTTTGTTCGATAACTTGTTGCTATCTTGTAGGTAGTGAAATAATCCCGTTGCTGTAGAAATCTTGGGATTTTAACAAGATAAAAACATGCGACAAGTAGTTTTGACAGTCCTCTTTTGATGGTTACCTAACACTACCCAAAGAATTCTGAAGACACCAAAACAGATGAAAAACTGGGGGTGCAAGGTCAGGACTATATGGTAGATGCATTAACACTTTCCAACCATGATCTCTTAATTTTTGCTGTGTGGCCAAAGATGTGTATGGACTGGTGTTATGATGACGAAGGACCACTCCTTTTCTGTTGATCAATTCCGGCCGCTTTGTCCGAATTTCTTGCTTGAGTCTCATTAGCTGTTGGCAGTAGAGATCCGAATCGATGGTTTTGCCCGGCAGTAAAAGCTCATAATAAATGAGGCCCTTCTAATCCTTCCATACACACAGTATCACCTTATTGCTTGTTAATCCGGGTTTCGCTAATCTGTGGAGCTTGACTACCCTTTGAACATGATGTTTTTCGCACGTTCTAGTGATCCACTTTTCATCACAAGTGATCAGTCTTTTCAAAAATGGTTCGGTTTCATTACGCTTCAATAGAAAATCGTAAATAAGTATAAGATTTAATAGGTTTCTTTGAGTGAGCTGGTGTGGTACCCAAATATCGAGCTTTTTTGTACGGCCTGACTTTTTTAAATGGGTCAAAACTGTTCTGTGGTCGATCCTCAATTCCTCGGCTATGTAGTAACTACTAATATACCGATATTGCTCCAATTTTCAAGAATGTCATCGACTTTATTCGCATGAGGGCAACCAGAGTGAGCTGCATCTTTAACATCGAAATTCTCAGACTGAAAACGCATGAACTCAATTTGTGCTACTCCTACTGACACTGCAGTAGGTCCGTCCATAAACAACATTTTCGAGGCTTGAATCGCATTTTTCTGTTTTCTGTAATAAAACTTCAGAATGTATAGAATTTCTTCATTAGATTCACACACACACACACACACACACACAGACAAGCGCGTGCGTACACACACGCGCACACACACTTTCACACATGTCCAAAAACACACACACACACACACACACACACACACACACATAGACAGAGAGAGGGGGAGAGAGAGAGTCACATACACACGTACACGCACAGGCACTCTCACACACATATTGCAGATGTGTTGTTAATTTTTAACACGAGATTTTTCTATGATGGGCTCAGGACGCATTCCTAATCAGTTTTCCGTAAGTTATTACGCTGGGCCTGTTGGTGAAATCAGCACTGATATCCTCACACTAATTCTGTTATCTGTTAGCAGACTGTGGAGTTTGGGTAAGCATATTTAATTATATTTACTATTATCAGTTTGTCCTTAGACCCTCTTTAGTACAGGTAAGGTGAGGAGTTGGAGAGACATTTGTATATTGTCCTTTACATTCCAATAATTAAACTAATACAAAATTTGATTTTCAGTAATAACGTCGCATGATAAAACTATTCCTTTATTCTTGACTGTTGCTCATAACGCTCCACATTCTGGAAATGTGGGAGCTACACTACAAGCGCCTCCTAAAGACGTCCGAACAATGCGCCATGTTGAATCACCCCAAAGAAGAATTTACTCTGGTAATACAACTGTATTTTTGACATACGATGGACTAAATATTTAATGAAACTGTATACCTTCTACAAATATCAATTTATTTTAGCGATGGTGAAAAAACTGGATGAAAGCGTTGGTGAAATTGTTCAGTCACTTTCAGATAATAAGATTTTAAACAACACTATCATAGTGTTCGTATCTGACAATGGTGGAATGACATCGGGTGATTCTTTCAATTATGCATCCAATTGGCCTCTGCGAGGACTAAAATTGTCTCCTTTCGAGGGTGGTGTTAGAGTGAACGGACTTTTGTGGACTCAAAACTTAACTAATACTGGTCATTTATGGAAAGGATATATTCATGTCTCAGATTGGTTGCCTACACTTATGAAAGCTGCTGGAGCAGAACCACCTTTAGATATAGATGGATATGATCTTTGGGAAAATATTATAAATAACAAAGAATCGAAAAGGAATGAAATATTCGAAATAGATGATTTAACGGGCTATAATTCAATTATTTCTGGTGATTATAAACTAGTGACAGGATCTGTCATTGTTAATTATAGTAATCATCAAGGCGGTGACCTTAGAAGTATAATTGGAAAGGCTCCATCTTATTTTAATACCCTTAAAAAAAGTACCGTTTACAGAGTGTTCAGTGATATAGGAAGACCTTTTAATTTTGAAAATGTTATGCTAAGAGAGGATATAAAAGTTACTTGTGATAAAACTGGGAATCAGGAAAATACTTTGTGCTACCCACAAATAAGTAAGTTGGAAACAGCTCAAAATAATAAAACTAATTCTTTATTTTAACTTAATTTTTGTAAAATTCTAACGTAAATTATTATAAATAGTAAAAAGTAACATGTTACGTAGTAGTTCGCATGTATTTGAAACCTTTTTCAATTTCTCATACAACACAGGTTCCCTAACGATATTTTTCTTCGCCACCGAACATAATGTAAATCTGCACTTGAAGCTTTGAATATTCATTCCGATTTGAATTGTAGCGAGAGCTTAGATTTGAATTTACCATGACTATGTATACTACGTATATGACTTATCTATATCCTTTTATTTAATTTTACAGGTCAGTGGTGCTTGTACAATATAAAGGAAGATCCATGTGAATTTCGAGATATATCCATAGATAATCCTGAAATAATAAGAAATATGTTGATACGTCTAGAAAAGGAAAAGTTAAGAGTTATACCCAGGAGAAAAACTATTTTAAGGGATCCTAGATCATCTCCGCGCTTACATAATTATACTTGGGATATTTGGGCAGATAATATCATGCCTAGTAATTTATAAAATATGTGCCTATTTTATAACAATAAACGTAATTTTTCGGAATTCTGAATTTTATTTTGTAGTATTTAATTACTAATTTATTTGGAACTATACTTCTATTATCCTTCACCGCTTAGGTTGTCTTCATAGGTTAATTTTACCATAGTTGCTAGTTGCTGCGTTGGCAATAGCAGTTTTTTTAAATAAATTTGATTAGTTATCAGTAAGATGCTGCTGCCCATTTCCTGTTTCAGTTTCTCACGGTCAACTCATACGGCATCCACAGGACGATATGGGGTGGTGGACGTTGTTATACCGTTATTACACGTGTTCGTTCTCTTACAATATATGTACGCAAACTTGTATTTTATAGTCAGTCGCAATTAAAGAATCGAAGAGTAAAGACACTGTGGTTATCATTTACACGTCATACAAACAAAAGTGCACCTTAACTACATCAACATATGGTCGCAATCGAGCCGGACCGATCAGCGAAAAAGGATTAAGTGCAGGTGCAGGTAAAAATTCCGGCCGACCGCGTGAACAATAGATCTCGGGCGCTTCAACTCGTAAACAAGTTACGTAACGCTAACGCAATTAGCACAACATATTTCTCGATTTTATTAATAACTGGATAAAAACATGAGTTCTTCGGCGGAATTACTTAGTACTTTAGAAGATATTGCTGCTTTACTTAAGAAAACACAAACCAACTTGAGGAAATGTCCAAAGACGCGTCTTACAAAGGGATATATTGAAACAAGATTAAAAACAATAGACGATTATTGGAATTCGTTTAAGACTGCGCATCAAGAGTTATTAAGGATTACGCCGAAGGAAAAAAGGGGAGTTTTACCTTACTTTCTCAACGAAGATTTTTACATATATGAAGATTTATACATCGTTTTACAAGCCGATCTACGTGATATGTTAACTTCTGTAAATTCGTCAACAACGTCGGGTAATACCTCCGTATCCGAGCATAATATGGAGCAAACACGAAGCGAAAATTCCCTTGTGAAGCTGCCGAGAATTCAATTACCAACATTTAGTGGCAATTACGAAGAATGGCCGACCTTTGAAGATTTGTTTACTTCACTTATACATAACAACAAGACGATCGAAGACGTACAAAAATTACATTATTTAAAATCAAGTGTAAGTGGTGAAGCGGCATCGTTAATACGACATATACAAGTTACTCATAAAAATTATTCGCAGGCGTGGGAAGTATTAAAAACAAGATACGGTAATAAACGTTTAATTGTCAACTCAGTGCTAAGAAGATTGTTTCTTCAAAGGAAAATTAACTCTCAATCAGCAAATCAATTAAAATGTTTATTAGACACAACGACTGAGTGTTTAAATAATTTAAAGAACTTGTCTATTAGTGTTGATTCTTGGGATCCTATTATAATTTTTCTCGTTGTGCAGAAAATGGACCAAGAGTCTCATAAAGAGTGGGAAGAATATGCCTATAAAAATGAGTCTGAAGATTTACCGACGTGGAGCGACTTAACGAAGTTTCTTCAATCAAGATATCGAACATTAGAACTTATTTCATCAGGCCCACGAGAGAAGACCATTAAAGAGCGATCTTTCCACGTTAGCACCGCTTCATCAGAAAAATCTAGTGAATCGTCAACGTCAGCCCCGCCGCGGTCGTCGGAGAAGAAATGTATTATGTGCAGGGATAACCACACGTTATGTCACTGCAAAGAATTTACCAACCTGCAACCTTCACAAAGAGCGGATTATGTGAAAACACACAAATTGTGTTTCAACTGTTTAGTACCGGGACATGCGGCTCATAAATGTCGACTCCGTATGTTCTGTCGTATATGCAATAGACGTCATCATTCTCTTCTACACCAAGCTGAAAGGAAAGAAACCAATAGCAAAGAAACATCACACCAATCAGCGTCACATTGCAACCTAGAAGAGAGGGAAGGCATTCAAGTCAATTCAATGATAGCGTCACATCATACCACTAAACAAGGCATTGCATTATTAGCAACCGCTATGGTGAGCGTTCGAAGTGAGCAAAATTACACCATGATATTAAGGGCGCTCATAGACCAAGGATCGCAGGCTTCATTTATAAGCGAAAAGGCGGCTCAAAGATTAAGGCTCAACAAACAACCTGCAAGAGGAACTGTCATAGGAGTAGGGTCTACTAGAACAAATTTAAATCACGTGGTACAGTTTCAAGTAAGTTCTCGCGATGCTAAAGATTTCAACTTACCTGTTAAGGCCTATGTAATGTCGAAGCAACTTACCACGAAGATACCCGCTAGAACGATTGCTGCAAATCACTGGTCACATTTAGAAGGTTTGAATCTTGCTGATCCAAGCTACTATGCACCAGGCTCCATTGATTTACTTCTTGGAGTGAAGGAATATGCACAGATACTACAACCAGATTTAATCAAGGGTCCACCGGGTACACCAAGCGCTCAGAAAACCAACCTTGGCTGGATCTTATTTGGAGAGGTCGATGACAATATGCAACAAGACACGTTTCTGGTCATGCACCAGCAAGTAGAAATAGATGAAGTTTTAAAATCAATATGGGAAGTAGATACAGATACAAAAAGAACATTAACTAGGGAAGAAAGGTTATGTGAAAGAATATTCGAGAAAACACACAAAAGGACTGAAGAAGGGAGATACATGGTGAAGTTGCCGTTTAACACTGACACACCGAGGTGTATAGAAGGAAATACAAGGGATATAGCAGAGAAAAGATTGCTACAACTAGAGAGACGATTTAAGAAAATGCCTAAGCTAAAAGAAGACTACACTAACGTTATAAAAGAATACCTAAGTCTACAACATATGGAAGAAGTACCTAAAGAAGACCAGGGAAAAGAAAAATGCGTATACTTACCTCATCACGCGGTTCTTCGCGAAGATAAAGAATCCACGAAAACAAGATTGGTGTTTGATGCTTCCTGCAAGGGGTCGAATAATGTCTCATTGAATGATGAACTCCTCGTAGGACCTCCACTACAAGAAGATCTTCGTAATCTAATAATGAGATGGAGAATGAAACGCATATGTTACATGAGCGATATACAGAAGATGTGAAAAGAAATTAATAGAACAGTTAGAAAACTTTGAGACACTACAGGAAGTGCTTAAGGTAATCACATATTGTCGAAGATTTTTAAATTACAAGAAAAGTAAAAACAATATACCAGAACCACTAAATACAGAAGACCTGGACAGGTCATTGAAGGCATGCATAAGACTGGTCCAACACGAAGAATTTGCGGATGAGATTCAAAGATTAAAAGACAACAAGCCTGTAAAAATTAACAGTTACTTGAAGAGTCTGAATCCCTTTTTAGACGAAGTGGATATTCTCAGGGTGGGCGGTCGTCTTCGTCACTCTGAGCTAGAAGAAAAACATCCGATAATACTGGGCACAAAGAACAACTTAACGCCTTTAATTATCGCCGATGCTCACTCCCATACGATGCACGGTGGTGTCCAATTGACATTATGTCATCTTCGTTCTAAATATTGGATCCTGAAAGTAAAAGGCTTGGTTAAGAGTCATATACACAAATGTTTGACCTGTGCCAAACAAGCAGCTACAGTTAGAACACAGGTGATGGGTGACTTACCTAAGGAAAGAGTAACACCAGCTCGAGCATTTCTAAATAGTGGAGTCGACTTTTGTGGACCTTTTTCAAATTTTGAATAATAAAGGCAGAGGAGCCAAAACAAGAAAGGCATATATTGCTCTTTTTATATGCATGTCAACCAAGGCCATCCACCTTGAATTGGTTGGCGACTTGACATCCGAAGCCTTTGTCGGTGCGTTTAGAAGATTCGTGGCGAGGAGAGGCAAATGTGCTCATATGTGGAGCGACCAAGGTCGTAATTTCATTGGTGCTGATAGAGAGCTACAAGCAGCTTGGAGAGAAGCTGATTTGGCCTTTGAAGGGAACATAGCTGAGGCCTTGGCGTTAGACGGCACGCAGTGGCATTTTATCCCGCCTTACAGCCCAAATTTTGGAGGGCTATGGGAAGCTGGCGTTAGATCCGTAAAGTACCATTTGAAGCGTGTCCTATCTGCAAACCTTACCTTTGAGGAAATGACCACCGTTTTGTGCCAAATCGAGGCTTGCCTGAATTCCCGACCGTTGGTTCAAATAGACACAGATGATCCTGAAGTTATTGAACCATTAACACCTGGGCACTTTTTAATTGGTCAAGCTCCGATTGTAGTGCCTTCAGTCGATCTGAAAGACACTCGAATTTCAAACTTAACACGATGGCAGCACCTTCAAAAACTTCTGGGAGATTTCTGGAGACGTTGGCAGACGGAATACCTGACAAGACTACAACAACGCCCGAAGTGGCAGAGACAACAGCGCGAGTTTGAACTGGGAGATATAGTTTTAGTTAAGAGTGAAGGTCTGCCACCTGGTAAATGGTGTCTGGGACGTATCGTGGATAAACATCCGGGAAGTGATGGTCACACCAGAGTGTATAGTGTTAAAAGTGGTTGTAATATTGTGAAACGTAGTGTTACAAAATTATGTGCTTTGCCAATAGACACTAAATCTTAATACTAAACTAAATTTTAAAGCATTCTTGTGAGCATAAAAAGTTTGTTAATTTTGATTCTGTTTGTTACAATATTTTAATTATGTAGATTGTTGGTTGTTAATTATAATATTGTTTAGCTTGTATCACTTAGTTAATTTGAATTATTTAGAAAGAACTAAATGTTCTTTGGTGGGCGGCATGTTCGTTCTCTTACAATATATGTACGCAAACTTGTATTTTATAGTCAGTCGCAATTAAAGAATCGAAGAGTAAAGACACTGTGGTTATCATTTACACGTCATACAAACAAAAGTGCACCTTAACTACATCAACAACACGGTTCACACTATTTAAATTATTTTTATTTTCATAACTGGGATAAACAAGTATTTCGGCAATAAGATAAAGTTTCTAAATTACTAATGAGCAGTAAACAATTCAACTTAATATTTGGGAAT